AATATACATGGTTTTATTATATAGATCTGATGCATACGTATAAATAGATAAGTCTCAATTGGGTATGTAATATTGTTTTTTTTATATTCGTTATGTTATAATATTATTACCTAAGTACGCAAAAAAATAATGCCACGATAATTTGTAAAGTGATATTATTTTTTCATAACAAGTCACAGTATTTTCATTACAATCAAACAAACAATTAAGAACTAGCATGAGTAATGATTTCGGAATTTGTTTAATTAATGCGGTTCTGAGTATCAAAGTTATCAGCCACCGGTCGATGGTTAGTCACACAAGCGCGTGCAGGAAGTCCACAGATGAATCAACGCGACCAGGCAATAAATGTGGTACGAAGTAATTATTTTGAGTAACAGGTGGGTTACAAACAAATCCTGAGAGAACAGAGAAAGAAAATACGAGTCTTAAAAAGTTCTGAATGAATAATGAAATGAGGAAAATTACTTAAGCGCACCGACGAGGCTTATACTGACAGTACAAGTAAATGATGACGTAACGAAATGATGGCAACATCAACATAACTCTATCAACAGTTAAACAGGTTGACAGAATAAAAGAAAGCGAAAGGCACAAGTTTCTTAACACACAATGCGTGATTAGTTGGAAAACTTGAGGAAATATGAAGTTTGTATGTAACCTATAATATTATTAACAGTTACTTTTATATTTTAATACTGTCGGTACATGTAATTTATGAGGGTGACATCACTGAGGGCGTCATCATCATAAACATCTTGAGTCATTTATTAAGCCATGTTATACTGTTTAAATACATTTATGAAAATTAACCAGACGCTGAAGATAAGATTACGCACCGCATCAACATTCACGAGCAATAATTTTATAGGATTTAACATTTTTGCATAGGTATGTACTTGAATCTTTAAAAACATAAATCGGGGAACCGAATAATACTATCACGACGATGCAATAATTAGAAATATTATAAGCAAAAGTAAAAAAATGTGTATGTGTGATAAAATTAAAGAAAATTTAAAGGGTGGGGACGTAAATATGTCGAGTAGAAAAGCAATTGCCACACAATGATTATCACGTGTCGCTCGAGGCCGCAGGTAGCGGTTACGTAAGTGCGATACACGACATGTATTTATAATATATGTAGTATGCGAGCCTACTACGTAACAGCGGAAACCCTTAAACAGTGTGACATGACCAGGTGGATCTAGGTTGGAGCATTTGTAACTTGGTATGAATGGACTCCTCTGGCCTTTGGTTTATGGACTATTTTCGCTTTGTATACATGATCCACGATTAATTATAAATTTTACGACATAATATAAACTGAATTACACTTTTATCATCACTTTTTGGTTTTGCTAGTACTGTATAAAGATTTACACATACACGTGTTACAAGATAAACCGGGAAATAAAACAACTTTAAAAGCATTCATCTAGTCAGGTAAAAATCATAAATACTAGATCAATTGTTTCCAACAGATTTCTCAAATTTAATTTAGTAGTTAGTATTGGTATAAAGTTTTGCTTTCTATATTCTTTACGTGTTCAAAACGAAGTATGCTTAGGCCAAGGACGTTACCATGGCCCGATAATTATGATGATATCATTAAAAAGTATTTAAATAACTAGAATAACTGGAATCATCGGTTTTTGGTAAAATCTTTTTTTAATTATTTGAATCTTAATAAAGGTTTCAATGATGATGAGCACATTTTAATAGATAGAAACGTTTCAAGTGAGTAAAAAATGAGCAACGTAGTATTGTGCCATTAAGTAATTCTGGATGCTAACCAATCAGAAGACACAAGCAAAGTATCTCTACTTGATAAAACATTCAACAATGATGAGAATGTAAATAAATTGTTTTTGGTACTCGGCGACAGTTTTTTACGTTAGTAGGTAGTGACGTCACGTTTTGCCACCAACCATATATCATTCACAGTCAGGATTCGATAACCGACTGCGAGCTTCCGACCGTGAGTCATGGCTACCCACTGCTCGGATCTTGTGGGAATATCCAACCGTTTTGTTAACAATGCTTTATAAATTACATCATAGTTTATGATGCTTTTAACAGATAATTACTGTAGTCTGTGCTACATGTGTGAATCTATATTCCAGAACTTTTCAAACTAATTTAAACAATCCATGCTCTTGTGGCCATATGTTATTACATTATAAGTATGCAGTGTTTAACTGTTCAGTTTATAAACAATTGCCTTATCTATCTGCATTATCTTAGTTATCATCGACAGTGGATTTTAGGATAATGGGCATCAGCTAAAATATTGGCATGTTAATAAGACCTGATGACACGTCGAGACTAAATTGACGGTTTTTACGCGGCGCAATCATTACACCTGATCGATTCAATGGAAAGCTGTCTGCTCACGTTCCACCGACTCACACCTGTGTCGGTTATGGAATATTCAATGCAGTATAGAGACAATAGTTTGTAATCATTTTTGTGCACATTTGTCTTGGTTTTGTATGTTTTAATTCTAGATAACTTTTATTCATCTGTAAAATGTAAAGAATATATAGCATGGCGTAGAAAATAGTTTATCAAATAGATACCGCTATTATTGTCCCTGATTTCTATTTTCTATTGCCATAACAAGTATTTGCAGCAATTACATAGTTTTAGTCAGGTTTTCTTTCTGCTAACAGTGAAAACAGCTAATGTTCACTAAACGACTGCTCCCCGTCACACGTGTGTAGATAACTGTGTGTTGGAGAGGGATAGACACATATACATCTGTTTATATTGCTGACCGCGTGCATAGGAGAAATTAGCGACACGCAGCCGTTCAAGCGAAAGGTTTGTAAATGTGTTTGAGGTAAGACTACCGCTGGGCGCCTCTTTAATTGTATCGCTAACATATTAATATACATAAAACAAGGAAATGTCGACATTGCTGTATTGTAAACCTACATGTATGAAATCTACGAGCTGTCATACAATACCAAGTTTGTGCCAAAGTTCATAGTGCCAAGCTTCTAACGGCATGGTGGCATGCTATAACAATGCAGATTAGCGCCGCCCTTGTAATGAAGGACATAAGACTTCGGTACATAAATTAAAGAAGGAGGTCGAGAATTTTGCCTACATACCAGATACTGGTTCTTGCGCTGCATAAAGAGAAGGTTTTACTTAACATCGATACGATGCGTACCAATCTACTACTTAGGACTGTCGTCATTCCAATTTTATTTGGAAATGTTCTAATTTTAAAATCTATGCCAATATTATAAAGCTGACGTTTGTTTGTTTCTTTGAACGCGCTTATTTCAGGAACTACTGGTTTGAATTAAACAATTATTTTTGTGTTGGATAGTCCAGTTATCGAAGAAAGCTACAAATAATCGTGTAATGACCAAAAGCAGCCAAGGAGCGGGTAAATCCGCGCGAGAGGAGCTAGTGGACAATAATATGATATTAGTAAGTGGTGTATGTACACGAATTATTTATTTATGAAACCAACGGCGGTCGGGCGGCGACAACGCTCTGGTTTATCAAACATTGTAGCTCAATGGGCTTGTTTACATACAGGCACGTGTGGGTAGGCGGATAATGACCGCAGACGGGACGTTCGAAGATTTTGGACGTAGGAGTGACATGACGCGGACCTATTGGTCTCTCCTTGCCTAGTTCACGAGTTTAGAAATTCTAACTGATAGATCATTATGCAAGAATGTCCCGAACTCCATACTAAAGTACTTATTAAATGAAACTTTGAAACAATAGCCGGCTGCGTTTCCTATTAGTTTGTGCTATCTAATCTGTAGCATGTAAAGTTAATAGAATATTGATAAAACTCGCTTCTACTTTGGCTAGAAAGAATAAAAATGTAACAATGGACGTAGACAAACTAATTTTGCGACTGCACAGTGACAATACAATGCATTGGCGAATAAAGGTTGATGAACCTCAAACCATACAATAAAAAACTGAGTTATTCACAGAACAAACTACTGAAAATCAATGTATAGATTTGACAGTGACAAAAAGTTGCCAAGAGGCTGCTTTTAAGATCGATGCCATTACTAAATTGCTTATTTAACTGAAAGAAAGCTAGATGACCTTCGTGAATATTTATGACTTACATATTAATATGAAGCAGTCGACCTTATTGATATGATAAACTAGGTAGGCTGAGTAATGATATATTCGGTAATGTTGTAACGTTGTGCACACGCTGACATTGCAATACGGGGTCAGTGTCGCGCAGACGATAAGGGCAAAGGAAAACGATTTCAGAGAATTGTTTGTTTATGGAACAACTACACGACGGAAACGTGTTTCGAATGAATGAGGATTGAGAGCCAAGGCGGCAAGCGAAAGGAAACGGCCGTTTGCACGTCGACCAAACTATTTAGAGAAGTATAATTTGTTTAGTGCAATTAAAACGATGATCACTTCCATCATGTTTTAATCAAAAAAGTAATTAATAAGAGAGAGAAACGGTTTTCTCAAGCGCATATCTCTCAACTAATATAATAAATAAAAACAAACTTGAACTTGTTAGGCGCACTGGTTATTCTAAAAATAATCGTTACATAGCGTTTGGTTGGCGTCGGCCAATAGCCGCCCCCTCAACACTTGCAGTAAACACATTTTATACGCTAATGCACTATCCACGAACATTACTGATGGTTTTGCAACGCAAACAGACGCAGATTTATCTCTAGGTAATGTATGTAAGCGGAGCGGCCGCGGCCGGCAGATTCAAACGAACGATGTGATGCTAAAACTCGATATCTTTCACCACTTTGGCATTTGTTAAATGAATATTGACTAACTTTAAATGGTTATTACACTCGTATATAGTACTTCGGATATTGATACTGATCCCACGCTTTTTAGATATCCAATTTATTTTTTATATAAATAATACACTCTTCTTGTTTTTCACAGTTCCCGACCATATTACTGCAATGAATCCGCAAGATTTAAATAATATTTCTGTCACCAAGCACAGATTCATCACTAACCTTTTTGTAGAGTTTGATCCAGGTGAGGTCGCCTTTGGAATCGGTGTACTGGAGACCGAAGAACCACACCTCTCGCAGGCCGATGGTCTTGACGACCTGGTCAAACAGTTGTTTGCCAGTCGTCGTCTGCTGGATCGCGAACTCCAGCTCCGCGTCCATCGTCGTCACACGGACGTTCATCTAGAAAAAATAAGAAAACTTTAAATCATATTCAAAATGTAACTGACGTCGAAATATATAGAATTTAACATTAAATCTGGCTTCTCATTAACTCTCTCTCAACGGTGAAAAAGAACAGGAATGCTATAGTCAATATGATTAATGAAGTAATTAGAGTGACAGACGTTCCGAATGAAACGATATACAATGATTTACATCCAATAATTGCTGTATTCAACGAACATTAATATTTAATATACGCACGGATCCTGCGTATTTGGCATATTTTTACAATAAAGGCGAATAAACAGTGCTTCGGGGAAATTTCTATCTCGGCAGAAGACTGCTAGGATGCTAACATGTGTGTTATGAAACTATCGGACTGTGTTGTTGTCTCCAACATTGATGAATACGTGTGCCCTTGCTTTAACGTAAAAGACCTTAAGTGTCGGATCAAATATGGCAAAGAAAACAGCATAATGGACTCAAATGGCATTGTATACAACAGATGTGTGCCAAACGACTCTGTTGTATCTAATAAAGCGTATAATGGAACAAATAGCCATAATATAATAATTTCATTCCTATATTTATCATGAATATACAATGAAGGAACACAAAGCAACGATATACCATTACCACTTTGTACGCTTTGCAACGTTAACTAACTCAAAATATTCACAAATGTATTGTCTACGCGAGACAAGACAATTTTGATCAAATGTTCCCTTTTGATTGATTCTTAAATAGATAAAGTTATGACACATTTTGTAACGTCGTTTAACTTCAGATATTCATGACGATGAAACCAGTAAGTAAGTTCAGATACTACGTATGCCGCAACCATATGTTCAAGAATAATTATTCTGAACTTGCACTAAATGAATGCAGCAAATAACAGTAAACAAGCAAGCACTTGAAAACAAAAACATTCGCTTGTCATGATATTCCATGCAAAAAACAAAAACAAAAGTCTTAAAAGACTATAGAAATGAAAATAAACATGACACGAAAAATAAGATTCCACTTCATGAAAATAACGATTCATTCATAAAAACTGTAATGGTTATAAATAGAGAATTAATAACAGGAATAGAAGAAATGTAAACGATGAATCTAAAAATATATTACAGTTGGTGAAGCGCCAAGCGGATGCCTTCTTCCGGGACGGTTATGTCATGGCGTAACCTCAACACCACTATCTACGTCCTTTTACGATCTCTTGGTGTCTCGATACTTAATTTTATAGAAATGATCAAAGGGGACCCTGTTTCACCACGTTCCTTTTCAGTTTTAACCAAATCATGGCACAGTCTGGCTGATTGTTCTGGATTTAAAAATATTCTTAGTTTAATTTTAAATTAAGCAAATAGTTCGTAATGAAATTGTATGTTTTTTATTTGCAATGGACCGATTTTCATAGCAAGGACTTGTTTTATAAAGGTTTTGCCAGAAACTGCTGGAGGGACAGGAAAGGGTAGGCGAAAAAATGGATGTCTTTAAACTAGCTATAATTAAGCGTATAGAAGTAAACTATACAAAGTAGAATAGAACTTTGACTTCAGTACAACATTTCCAGCCGCAAGTAAATGTACCTACCTATTATTGTGTGTAGAAATAAAAATAACGTACAGCTCGAGCAGTTTGCAGTAGCCAATGTATCTACATCGGATCCTAGTAATGAAAACATGATTACACTAACAATGCTGACTGCGGACGGAGATATTATCTGCAAAGTGGTAACAATGGATGTACACCGTTCATTCATACTTTATGCTCTACGTGTGATAGTAATGGGAACAAACAAGATAGCTCTATCGATAATATTGTAATATCGATCATATTGTATAATTAGTTTCGTTATGACGCATCATCCTAAGGGAAGGATTAAAATTACTTCTATTTCATGTTTACCCAAATATAGATGTAATGAAATTTATAAATTTTAAGTACTTCACGAATCATGACGTAACTCTGATAATATTTTGATTTGATAAATATAATTTCATGATATCAAGGAATTATCGGCATTTAAGTACAAGATAGCACAAATAATTTTAGTGAAGGTCAAAGTTCAAAGAGCTAAAGACCGGAATATAATCGGAAAGCGCACCTTGGAGTCGTGCCAAGAACATAAACAGCAAATAAAAAGCAGTGAACCAGGATCTTTCATGTTCACGTTCACACGAGTGGGGAAATCTTATTAGCACTATCTTTACACAGAACGTGTTATATAAATGTTCATAATTTTAAGCCATTCACCAAACCCGAAGCGAACGCCGGCGTTCGCGGACCAATTATTCTTGTATTATCTCTCGAATTACCACGATTGAAAGTTTAATCTACATAAATCATGTCTACAGGTGTGCAAGGACGTAAGTAACAAACATCGATAAATTATGATGTAGTCGCGTCCTTATTTCCTGAGCTATTATTACTATTCAACCTCGATGACTCTTCCCCTATAACTCATAGCTTATCAAGCGCCCGCATGGTTTATTATTCAAATTTGTACCAGCTTCTCCTAACCTCCAATAATAAGGTTAAGGAAAGGACAATGATAGCGTTTATAAATATAAGTCGCCCGTACTCAATGTCGTTAATTTAAACTGAACTAGTTTCTACTGTGAAATGTATGTAAATGTGATCGGTGCAAAGCGGCGACTTTGCTCTACAAATGATGCATGTTTTTCACGCTTGGAGAAGATTTCTAGACAATTCGTCATCATTATGTCAACACTTGTTTTAATCTCTGTTCGTGTCTGTTCTGTAAATCCTGGCTAAAGAACAAAATATGCGAAACGTGTGCAACGAAGTAGACATAAACTCAAAACGTATTTCCTTCAGCAATAAAATTAATTACATTCATTTCAAACCACTAAAACTGTTAACCTGGGAACTGATCAAAATTTGTTTTAAGTACTTCTGTATAATGTTATGATGTAATTCACGGTTTTACGTAAAGAGAAAAAAAAGTTAGAAGGTCATCTGTCAATTTGAAATATTTCCTCTACCTCACAACATGTTAGTAAACCTGTTATATTCATTATTACAAATATAATGGGGACACAAACACGACTAAAGTTATACGTTCAAAGATGCGTAACTAAAAGCCAATGAATGTACGACACGGCCATCAATGTCAAATGCTGTGGCCGTAAATTTTGGGTATTACATGAAATGGCTATGACGAAATTGTTAGTACTCATCCACATAGCAACGGAAACAGTAGAGACCAGACTCGACAGACGGTTTGAATCGCTTCCGATTAGTAAAACAAAACGACTAAATGATACGATGTACCAGCTAGCGTGAGTTAAGCTTTACTTAAATATATTAGACTACATCGAAGATTTAATACAAACTAATGAATGTAAGTTAAATTATAATACACTTTCTAAGTAACGGAATTCAGACTTCCTATTTTGGAAAGTAAAAATTATGAGCATTCCGAGTCCAAGGACGGCACGATAATGAAGTAGCTAATATAGCAGCTGAGTCATCTAGACGAGATTGAGAAACTAATGCGAGATAAGAGGGCGGTGTAGCGACTAGTGTTATCGCTTGAGTAAACGACGGATGTTTGTATAAGCTACGACCAATTTGCCCGCTTTGCACGCAAATCTTGCCTTCAAGAAAGTAAGCATGTAATATGATTACATCTATTATTATAACCCGGTAAACATAACGGTAATATAAAATCGGTAATTTACATTTCAGTAGGAACTTGGATGAAGATGTTGCTCCGACGCGGCGAAAGTCCACTAAGCAGAAACCTGTCTGTCGGTCTAACTCTCGCGTGATGGTTATTGGTAGAGTTACTAGCCTATATGAGATGATCCATTAGTTAGCTTAATGTTCGACCATTACCTGATTAGAAAATCTTGAATAATGGCAGACGTATACGAGTGTATATAGCGCTAACAGTACCTATTTGTGTATATTACTTGTTTGCGGATGGCTCATTAGGAGGAAATTCGTCGACAGACAACTATTTGTAGGAATTGGTTGAGGATATACAAGTGATTTTATTTATTACTCATGGATGCACCATATTCATATTTAGAGTGTGAGTCAGTTTTATTGTGAGGTCAACATGACATTGAATACAGGAAAACATTGAAATAGAAGTCCTTTTGCAAGCAACTTTAAAGTTTAAAGCATTATGGGTGTCCGTATAGTATGTTTCCTTTCGTGACACTAATACAAGTAGAGTGAATCGATATTTTAAAGGCCATGTTGTGTAGTAATCACGTATTAACTGTAAATCCAGTCGCATGTCAAGGAAATCTCACCCTTGTTGTTCCGGCACATGATGATATTCTATGGAAAATCATTTTGTGCTTATGATTACGGGAATTTCAATAATGAGTGATAAGGTACAAAGAAATAAAGCTATGTGTTATCTAAGAATTTCAGTAATTTTATAATACAATCAATAAATCAGCTTATCTTCTACATTCATGAAAGTTATTTTAATTCCGAAAATTTTGCGGTATGATTATCTCTGACGATTATCCTCAAAAGTAAACGTTTGCTTTAAAAATAATTATGTCACAAATACTAATAAAACTGACGGAAATGTTGCTGTCATGGTGATATGATTAGTAATTCGAAAGTTAAACGGATTTGTACCCTATCTAATAGATGATATGGATTTGAAGAAAAGCTATGTTTTAGAACTGAAGATAAAACCTAGGGCAAAATAATAAAAATGAAATATAGCTATAAGTCTCACAAAACCAGAAACATAAATAACTATTGTTACTCCTCTGGTAAAACGTGGTCTTGACCACATATTGACGACAAGCTAGGGAGAGACGTGACCTCATCTAAATACACAACTAACGTAGTACATGACATATAGTTATATGATCAATGTGAAACGCGTATGGCAACCGTATGTGCCGCGGTTTCTATAAATAGCAATCCATGCGAAGGATATAATATTGCTTGGTTTAGAAGATTCTTATAATTTTATATCGACGTTGCAAGCTTCAAAGGTCGCATCGTCCTGTCTAGACATTTTCATTTCTTATTTTATTTGTCCATTAGTCGTCAGATTCAACATTTTTTGTCGTGCATTATTATTACCTGTATTAAAAACTTATATCATTCCAACCAATAAAAAACGGGATTATCATTCCCTTTTTCGGTAAGTATCTACAAAGATATTAAGGAGTGTCATTCTTAACTACAAAAGGACCCCACAGCTTGATTTTAAACTATATTAAGTAGTTAAAAACCAGCTGCTACCTTCAACATAATTTTTGTGTTTACGTCTCCCACGTAAGACAAAAAACACATTTATTCGTTGTTGCTACCGTGAAAATCTATTTATTATATTTATTTTAAAACTCGCAGTAACAATAACATTTTTACAAAGGCCCATTCTATTGTTTCATGGAAAAATAAGTATTTATGAATCAAAAATATAGTAAAGTGTCGTCCTTGTTGGGTCTTAGCTGAGTAGGAAGTAGCACGAGGAGACCAAGGTGAACTGATGATAATTATGAAGATACATTAAATATACTTGTTGCAAGTACATTTGACGACATAATTATTAACTTTGAACCAGGGTCGGGAGGTCACCGCTTACGGTAAAAAGTTGTAAGAACTGTTATTAATAGCAGATAATTAGAAATAAGATAAAAACGACACATAATGTACAAATTAATTTTGATTTCAATGGTAAATCAAATGAAGGTAAACTGTTAAACGACCCTCAAAACTCAGACCTGTATTTGAACCAACCAAATTCAAGTGTTAGTGCAAATTCAATTACAAAAAATAAGAGGCAATACATATGTAGTACAGACACGCAGACAGACCGGAGTATATGCAAATAGATCTGTGATTTTGGCGCATATACATATTTACTCTCTTTTCGACAAACTGGTACTTATCGGTAGGAATCGAATATAAGAAATTTAATGAAAATAGTGTATTCGTCAGTCATTGAAGATCTCCTCAATGAATTAGGAAACTTTTTTATAGCGAATTAGGTAATAATATTTTATGAAATGCTCTAATATCAAACACATCCTCAAGAAGTTTCTTTTGAAATTGTGTCAATAACTTTGTTTTGCTCTAGCAGATATAATCTAAAATTAAAATTTTGCTTTTTATTGTGTGTATTGGTGCATTTTAGCGCTCCATGGTGCGTAAGTATTTTGGAATTTTCATGATGCGTATAATCTGGGCTCAAGTTATTAAGTGTGATAAAAAAATATTGGGTGCATATGCATACTAGTGTCGACATATTTCTAGAAAAAATCCCATCCCTTCCGAACAGACAGGAAGGGGCCAATCGGGATAGAGGGTGGTGCAACAGGTGCACGGACAGATGCATGTAATACGTGGCTGCAGTGTAGATAACACGAAGACACCTTGCCTTAAAGTTATTGTTCATTATAAAATAATCAATGTTACTATAGCAATTGTAAAAGAAAATACTGAGAAGTAGAAGACTGTAAATGAAGAGCTTAAGTCACTGAAAATGTTATCCATTCTTCGGTCAAATTCAAATTATTCTTACTTATGATCGCAATACTTGACTCAATTAAAATGCTACAGCTCTGCGAATCAGGCGAAGTTTCGTCAAAATCGAGACTCAAAAATCCGAGGTGATAGAAAAAGAAATTCCACTGTGCTTTAGAAATCGCACTAGTGTGTGAGTAGGTGAAACGAAGTGAAACGGCACTACATGGTCATGGAGCATATCGACGGTCAAATTAAATTCAAATATAGGCTGTTAGCGAGACCCTCGGTCATGGGCTTATGGGTTTGTGACTGCTCAGAAGATATTGTCATTGTGATCTCACATTAGGTCACGTACTTATCAGATATTGACTGGTTGCTAATTGGAAACTTATGTAGAAGTAGATATTTGGGAAAACCAGCAAGATGTGGGCATAAATATTCTAAAGTAATGAGGTGATTCTAAGCAAATGCTGACAATGATGTGACTGATTAATGATTAGACTGGACCAAATAATTTAGCTGAAGATGAGTAAGTAGTCATTGTGAAGAATAAGCGAAGACGTCGAGTCACGTGCATCCGCTGCGATAACGTGATGTTGCAGATACTTATATGCAGGTACCAATTATATTGCATTTACATTGCATGTTTTACTAGTATCTATCTATTGTACAGTCGTTAATAAAAACATCAGCTGACCCGTTCCAGACTTTACTGGTCTTCTTTTCTTAATTATCGTCACTAATGGTTGTGTCATTGAAAGGCAATGCAATACAACTTTGATATTTTTAATAATTTAGCCCAAAACATCTTTCTTGGAACGTTTAGTTTAAATTGTTGCCCTATAACACCAGGATATTTTATGCAGTTAATTAAAATTCCTCGACTTAATTGGAATTCCATTTTTTTGATAAATTAATATATATATAATTAGGCAAACGTGACGGAGTTTTCACAGCTAGCTGGAATGAAACTTATATGTTATTTAAATATTCAAGGTTTCATGCAATACGGTAAATATAATATTATTATAATACAATTAAAACTAATTAAGGACTAGTAAAGTTATCACATTGGTCGTAGACGACGCGTTCATCATCATTTTAATATTTATTTTGATTACAACACGAAACGACAATTGATGGGAATTGTGATAAAAAAAATTAAGAACAATTTATTTAATTCGAATGTTAAGCCAACAAAAACTGTTTTAATAAGTCTACAGAGATAAAACAAGTGATTAAATATTTTTTATAAAACCTAAGATCTGGCAAGACGAGGAAAACCTTGAACATCTTTGTAAATTAGTAGTACAGTACGTGTTTAAATGACGCTGATGGGGCAACTTTATAATGAACTAGTGCTGCACTAGTGTTAACATTAGTCAGTTTTATGATAAGCTAGCAATTATTTCCTGCAGCTCAAACTTGGCTTACATTTTCTAGTATTTATGCCCATTTTTACTAATTTAACAATATGTTGGCTAGTAGGTAACCAAAACGTATACCATTACTAGCGATAAGATAAAATTCATTACTACTCATTGTGTTAATTTCGATAAAAGTAATCGAGAATTCACACGTTTATATTGTACTACATTCGTATCGGTGATAAACACATTGAAATCCTTTATAAGTTTATTCAGTCGTAAAATAGCTGTTTCGATAAACGCATTTGAGCAAAATCTTACAATTTTTCATAGCCAACGTGAGTTGGCTCAAGACAAAAGATCCCAACGAAAGCGAGAGCACCAGACCCTTGGCGAAACAGGAAAGTGATTCTATCTCGCTCCGATACGCAGGTTGGATAGGGATAGGGAACAAAAAGACGGTTACGACCGTTTGCATGATGCAAAATAAATAATAAAGCCATGACCGACTCCATCTTGGAGTTTGCGGGTTTACGTTGCGATGACATCACCGTAACTTATGATTTCAGTCAACATCATTCTCGCCGATCTGTACACTCATGTAATTTATTCTTTTGACGAAACATTCGGCTGAGGTGGCCCCGTCACCTGTTGCTATGCTGACTTCACACTTTTTGTGGTCGTGATAAGCTATGACGCATATACACTTTTTACTTGCGATATCTGCTTAATTATGCAAAGCAGGTGGACAACACATATTCAATAGGATTTCAATATATGGATAACTTTGATTAATAGAAAAGGATTGACTAAAGGTATTTTACAACTAGTCACTAAGGACGACTATGAATTAGGGAGATGATTATATTACGTAAGAACTTAAGAGGTAACTTAAGAAGATACTAGCGGTTTTTGCAAAATGTCCTTCAGGCGTCTTCAGATAAAGAGGTAAGTTCTTTGATTATGTAACTGACCTGTTTGCCTCCGGCAACCATTTTGGCAGATTTTTGGGTCACACGCACTGGGTAATGTCACAGGCACAAACACAAGGTTGTTTATATTATCCTGTGGTAAAACACGTGAGCCGCGTCTGCCGGACGCGGCGGTAGAGTTTGAACTGAACGGTCGCGGTCGCCGCGGGGATGCGCGCGCGCCCCGAGCTCAAGGCCGGCGCACGCGCGCTCACCTCACACACCTTGCTCATACCGCCTACAGACTCGCTACTTTTTTGTTTGCATCTAAATTGAATAGTGATCCAATCGATGAGTCTACAGGCGACATTACCACAATAATTGCACAGCTCGTGTTAGGATTGTGGTCAACCCAATAAGACAGTAAGTAATCACATACAGTACTTGTCAGAGCGTTAGTGGATATTGCAAATGTTAAACACTGATAAATTTTATAAGATCTTTGATATCATTATCTTTGCTAATTGTATAGACTTGTATTAGTACATACATTTCCTTAAGAACTAATTGCCTAAGTTTATCGACGCGACAAGGTTCATCGTCATAGTTTTTGTCAATTTACAGTAATTTTCTAAATTAGGTATTGGTATCTACTGAGAACAGTGTGTTTTGTAACTAAATTACTGTAAGATGTGTTATGTAAAGTGTATGGGGTACTTGTTTAATTAACTATTATAATATGAGCTAACTCACATTGGGCACAAATTCCATATCGACTTCTGCCGGAAACCAGTTAAATGAAAAACTTGTATTTTATCAGACTTCCTTACAACACGATTTAGAGGGCTGTTATTCACATAAAGAATTGGTATTGAATTGTCGCAAGACTTCGGAACAGTGACATATTTTTCCTGTACTTTAAAAATATTACATACGGTCTAAAATCTCCTATTTATTTCCCGGTTTGGTAAGTAGTCGGAAAGCGATAACAAGTTACAAGAATAAATGAGCAAAACAATATTTTTACATAAGTAGTTGGGTTCACTTCCTGGGACTGCTGAACTTGTTGGTAAGGTCTTTAATCCAATCTCTAGTTTTATACAATGTCTTTCGACCTTTCTGCTAAATGACAGCAACGAATTGCCATGAAAACGTGGCATTTCTACTTTCAGTTTCAGTATACAAATTTTCAAGTAGGATAATGTCTTATTTTTTAATAATTACTTTGTGTGCACGATATTACGAAAAAGGACACTTTTCATCAAAATGATGAAAAGTGTCCTTTTTGTACTATCAAAATACTTGCTTTTATGGTTCTGTGACATTTTAATATACGACTTATTATTAAACTTCACAGCAACATAAACAAATGTATTAATTAGATATGCTGGGTTCATCGGCCCCTTAAGGCGGAATGATAACACATACTATATATTTTTTCTAACTTACAAACTCGTCAAGAAAATGAACTCAGCAAACCTTAACTGGGAGTTAATGTAAGTTTAGGTATAAGCTTATTATCCCCTGGTGAACTCTGATCCGAAGGAACAAGACCCGCGTATACGGCGTATATTTAACTGTTTCATACAGCACAAAAGAGGTTAAAGAAAAGTCTACATATTTTTAAGAATTTTTCGGGTACCTATTTAAGTATTTAAAATAAAACACGTTTAACAAATTTTTATTTTACGTGTGCAAGTGTAATCTATTATTTGAACACGATAAATTGTAAATATTACATACATTTAAAACTTTTACATGATAGCTATTTTGACGAGTGCATCGGACACACATTTCATAATCAACGGAAATGGATAAGGAGTGAGTAAGCTTATCGAGAGTCATTCAACGCGTCTAGTGTGCAGTAACAATTTAGCTGCAAACATTCAGGCGGGGTTGCGGGACTTGCAAGAAGCGTAGATAATAATGTACCGTAGGTACAACTCCGAGCAGGAGAAGAATAGGGTAGTTTTAAATCAGTAAGAGTAACACACTTGTCCCACCCAAGGCCGGAGAAGTATTTTGATGATTAACGCTGACAAAAAATAATATCAAAGGTAAGAAAGCAACATATTTGAAGAGGTCTTATAGTTAGTGATGTAGAGAGATGTCACCAAGATTTGGTTACGTTAAAAAGTGAAGGAATTTCACTTGTATTTGAAGTGCCATAGATGACTGTTATATCCTGAACTGATATGAAAGATTTGAAATAAAAGGCCAGGGGCGAAGTAAATCCTAATCGGATCCGTACGGTTTTACTGAGAGCCAATTGTGAAGTGCCTAGAAGAAAGAGAAGAGGAATGCGATGCGGTCGGGCGTTCGTAGTATTCAGCTAACAGGTATATAAACAAGGTGCGACGGTCGTACGTGTGCCGGCATGTCGCGAGTCGCGGGCACCGGCCGCCGTCCGCTAACCAGATAACGCGCGCCCCACTTTCCCGCTTCCTTCCTATGACACACTTGAGCTAGGCTTCTCCGCAACTTACATTATATCATTTGTTATTACTTATTACATTTACAACTCAATAACATTACCTGCATTCTTTACAATGATAACATATTTCATTAATCCATTCAAACTTTTCAATATTCAATATCATGCATAAAACTTTACACCATTTCCATAGAATACATTCAGTAGGACCATTTTAGATAAATATTTTTTTTGCCAATTTCCTTCTATGGACTTGAATGAACAGTAACCATGTAGACTAAAATATTTCATAGCAAAAAACAGGTTTACTTTTTATCTACAGGTAAGGTCGATAACATGAATTATGTAAATGTTTTAATAAAATGGCAAAATCTTGTGGGTTATTACTGGCTCTCACACACACCATAAACATAACTAAGGGACCAGAGACCAAACTAGAGTATGCAATCATTCTAATGGCATTTACCAATTACGTTCACATAGCCACACCACATTTAATAGCTACACACCATACTCTATAGTAAGTTGCGACAATGAATGGAATGATGACCTTCCAACTTACATTACTTCGAACTTGCGTTTATTCTGTCAATGAAGACCAATTCAAGGAGCATGCAGGCTTTTATTTACTATTTTACGAAAAAAACAAAATGAGCTATCTAATGCACCATTAAACTAAAACTTTACACAAAAATAAAACCAACAAAACACGAAAAAAAACTACAAATAAAAAAAAACTTAGCTACAGGTAAAAAAATTAAATCAGGGAAAACCAAACGCAAACATTCGGACTAACCAAGGCATTATCATTTGCGCCTAAATCAAGCGCGTTGCTAATATAACCCAGTATCTGGAAAGATAAATGTACAAAGAAACAGGTTTAATATTTGGTAGGTGATTAACAATATACTCATGAATTATTCTTTGCTAGAAAATAGATTGTGATAAGGTTTACATCTACACAAAATTATAAATATAAAAGTATACATATAAATATTTTGCATTGTTATTTTGAATGTTAAAAATTGCATCCATTGGGCTGGGGAGGAAGAGATAATGCTCTGTATCATGTAGTTCAGGATGTGATAAACAGTCAATGTCAATATAGAGCGGAGTCACTAAAATATTCATAGTGAATCATGTGTGTTTGTCATCCAAATTTTAATTCACTTTCAAACAACTATAACCAAAAGAGTCACTTTAAATTTCCATTTATATTTAGTAATACCACAATCTACGTATGTTATAACATACTTCCTACAATGATTGATAAGATTAATAATTAATCTGTTAACCATATCGCAAATGAAAATTCACTTTTTATAATAACTGACTAATATATGTTAATACAAGTGCTTTTGGTATAAGTTTGCAAAACAAAAACTGTAAAAACTAATTAATGCTGGAATTTTAAATCAATTTCTTCACTTTCATTGAATTTCTTGATACATAGAAGATGTTGACTAACTAGTTGACAATTATTACTATTTACATACTTTAGAAATAGAAGAAAAATAATGACTGACTACATGATATTGAGCAGCCATTCAATGAAAATAATAATGTTGCTAGCACAAATTGCAAATAAACTACAGTGAATATAATTATTACAATGACACTTAGAAAGTTCTAATGTTAAGTGGTATTTAATTGTAGGGCTATCTAACTATTTCAAGGTGGCCCACAGTTGGTGACAACAGTTTTAAGACCATCTTCAAGTCAAGTGTTTTTTGAGTATTCAGGCAATAGAATACTTGTTGAATTTATATTTGATTGCCACAGTTGATAAGAATTAATTGACTCAATTAACCATGTAGCATTAAGACACCATTTTAAGCCTATTCAAACTTTTTAGTACCAAGATTACTCTACAAAATTACTGTATATTATATTGAAGTAATGGCAAAGTTTTCTTTAATTTCTACCTAGAGAACAGACATAGGCAAACATTTGCAAATATTCTCTAAACATATAAATGAATCAATTTCCTATGTTAACTCTATTTGGCTAGGTATCTGGATATTTTATTTTTTAAACCATAAAATGTGATTGCATGAAATCAATTGAGAATAAAGTGATTTTTTTATTTATATTGAAATAACTCTCTATGGTTGCACTATTTCCATGGAATATATTGTTATTTGCAATGTACTTGATATAAATGTCTTTACATATTTATAATCTACCTGTTTCTTATTGGACAAAATTTAGGTTTCAATAATACAGTGTACTTGTGTTATCACAACTAAAAAGATAACCCATAATGTAATTCTTCAATATTACGAAATACTCTTATCTTTCTTGCCTCAAAGGTACTTTTACTTTCCAAAAGACACATACATTATCATAAATGTTTATGCTGTCACCTCAATAAAATCAAGGCACACCTTTAGAGAGCTATCATACTATTTTTAGTTGAATTGTTTGCACTGATCTTACTTGTTGAACATTTCAACACTGTTATCAATGTAGAAAGTTAATTTGGAATAAAAATGTCTCTCCTAAGCCTGTACATCGTCGTACATGTGTCGTCTGATTACATTGCAATGGTGAAATCAGTAAACTCACGTATCCACGACAGAGACAAACTCTGCGTCTAACAAACCAGAAACTACTTACAAAATACTTATCAACAATTGAACGTAAACAGAGTACTCACCGATTTCGGCATCTTGGCGGTTTGTGGTCACAATCTGCAACGATACAGAATACATGTAACGATACGATAATTTTGCTCACGTAAATTTCCACCGCGGCTGACGGGTCCTCTGCCGCGTGACATTACACATGAAATTGTGACTGAACGCCTACTTGTATACACGCATAATGTTAATTAAGTGCTCTATTCAATGCTATTCTATACATTTTCACACAAAATAATCTTGCTCGAACGATGACAATAAAATTGTAGTCACCGGGCAGTCGGCTGAACTTAGAAAAACGTTAAATAAAAATTCAAAGTTTTCAGGTCGAATTTCAAAGTGGTTTTTTGGGGACTTAAACCAAAATATGTTTAAACTATTACTTACCCGGTAAAAAGAAGAATATCACCTAATAATCCACATAAGTAGAACAACACACATAAAGAATGCACACACCCTTGAGTCACAAAAATATCGCGATGTGACAACTGCCTGCGTGACGTGGTAGCCGATGTTGTTATCACAAAACTATCACGTTCTTCTTTAATTTTATTATAAAATTTAAACTGTGAAAATTTTAATAAACTTAATCAAAAACGATAATAATATAAAGCTAACAATAATTAAAATGTTATAATGATAGTTTATGGTCATTAACTACAACTAAATAAAAACAACATTTGTCAATAAATCTACTAATATGTCTTTGATTTTGTATTCTAGCAACATTTTACATATGAAGTCATTTACATGCAGCATTAGCTTGTAATTACGTTATTTATTTTCGATGAAAACTGTATTAGAATTCGTATAATTTTATAAAACTAAAATATTTTTCCAAAAATATTATAAACTACATTAAATCAATATTATTTTTTTCAAAAACTCATAGGATTAATCCATGCTTTACGTTAAACACTACATATTTTCTGCGTAAATTGAAACAAAATTTATTTCGTTTAGTAATTAAGGCATAAAGATTCCCTTTTAAAATAATTACTTTGTAGATTTATTTTTCTTAGATTATAAGAAATAGATAACAAGTCGTTGTAATTTTTAGAGCCAATTTGGTGAATATAAGTTTTTTTAGAAAAAAATCATCTCTTCTTTCAGAACGAAAAATCCGTTGTCATTTGCGTTTTATGTCAAACCTATCATATTGTCGTAGAGTATGACATTGAATGAATGGATTCAAAGCCAACTGGAAAATTAAATTTGTTTACTAACGTAAATAGATGATCTTTTTGAAATAAGAACCCAGAATTAAATACATATTACTATAATGCAATATTACTATAAGTTATAACTTCGTGTGATTTAAAAATGTTTACATTTTAAGAGTCGGTAACCTCAACGAAATGGCATCAACGCCCTTTCGTAGATTGCTTCATTGGGGACCACTGTCGGTGTTTGGTAAGTTTATTTGCTAATAGGAATAAGAAACCACTTCAAGAAGATTTAAATCTGATTAATAATTATTTCTCTTCTGCTACAGTCGGGAACTCAAAAAACATGAAGCTGTGTACGAAAGTTATTTATAGCTCCCGTTTACATTGTTTATTTTTTATGTGTTCTAATAGTTTTTTATGTTGTCTTGGGACTTGGAAGGTTGCTGGTGATAGTTTTATACTTAAAATATGTATAAAATTCTATAATGGGAATTAGGAATTATATTTCTTACTTTGTGAACATACAACATTATAAAATTGTAATTATACATGTACTTACTCCACAACACAAGCTTAACTAAGTCTATATTTTGCTTATTACCTTATAACTGCAAACTGTATGTACAGAATAGATACAAATTTATATTCAAAACTTATTCCAGGTATAATAAAACTAATAACATGGGCAATGGTCCATCTGCTGGGCATGTGGTGGCCTCCACACTCCTCACTGGCGGCAGCTCTGCACGCTGCACTGTTCTTGACTCTGGCTGGTTCTACATTGTACTTCTTCCTACAGTCACTACTTGAAGGTCCCGGGTTTGTTCCATTGGGTTGGAAACCGGTAAGTAAAATCTTAGTAACTGTTAACTATTTACAACTGTTAACAACATTAATTAACTCTCCTAAACTCAACTATACATAATTTTTAATTAGTCATGATTGGAAAGTTTGCTCTGTCCTCCTTGTACTCAACTATTTTCAAATTATCTACAAGGTTTTAAAATATAAAATTGGTTGTGCTGTTGTAAAATATATATCTATCTACAATACCTCCATGTAGGAGTTAAAAATCTTAAAATTACTATAGGAATATTGAACTTAAAATAAAATTAGTTAATGTGATTGTTATCACTTGCCAGCAACTCTTAAATACTTGTAACAGCATGTTTTTGTATAAAAAATACTATTATCCTTTTGTAGTTGATTTGTGAATAGTATTATTCTATTTCCTGTAAGTAATTGGGCAAAACTCACTATGGAGTGGAGCCCATTTAATGTCAGCTGACATTGAAGATGAGGGGATCTATACACATGATCAAGGCTAAAAATAAATAATAATATTTATTAATTATAATTTTCTGCTATCTGTTTCCAGGAGAATGAAGAGGACACACATAATTTACAGTTCTGCACAGTCTGTAATGGATTCAAAGCACCAAGGTCGCATCACTGTAGGAAATGTAATTATGCTACCAATTATTTTAATTTATGTCAACAATTTATGATAAATGGTTATTACAGTAGGCCTTGGGGTTATTAATGTAATATTGATAATGGTGGATAATGGATGGTGGTATTAATTTTATATGATTTACAGAGTCATCTGTTTTGTTGTGAAATTGTTACCATGCAAATTCCAATGTGAAAGTTAAGGTCATAAGTAAACTCATTGATGATTTAAAGCTAGAAATAGTGTAGCAAGGTTATCCAACCTATCTTAATTCAGAGTTTTTAAAAATGTAGATTGTTTGGTTCTGTTTTTTTATATTATATGATGACAAATGAGCTTACGGTAAGCAATCAGCGCAGAATCAGCAAAACAGTTACGAGTGTGTTGCCGGTCTTTTAAGGATAAGGGTTTCGGGTTATTAAGGAATCGGCAGGGATGGGGGAGGGGGAGAGGGAGGGCCTCCGTTAACCTCACTTATACGGCGAAATAACTGTGTGGTTGTTTCTCGCCAGTTTTCTGTGAGGCCGTGGTATCAGTCCAGTCGACCCGACCTATTCATGCCGAAGCTTGGCTCTCCCAAAATTACTTGATTACAAATAAAAAATAAATCGTGGTTTATACTTCCAGGCGAACAAATGAGTTAAGCTCCTAATCATAATGTAGCATGCAATGACAAACAATGAGTAGACTATAGCGTCATATTTGTAAAATTTGTCAATATTTATTATCTTGTAGGTGGATACTGTGTGAAAAAGATGGACCACCACTGTCCCTGGATCAACTGCTGTGTGGGTCATAACAACCACGGGTACTTCACACTCTTCCTTATATCTGCTGTGCTGGGATGCTTCCATGCTTCAGTTGTAAGTTTTATTAGTAGCTTATTGAGTATTCTTCGGACACTATATATTTGATGATGATATGGTAGGACTTGATAGGATTCCATCTGATCCGCAAATGGTGAAAGAATTTTATGAATCCTTTGATACATATTCTGCACTATCTATGGAAAATACATATTCGTGCATTGCCGACCTTTGAGGATTTTTTTATGGCATAGGCTTACAATAAGCAGACATCTGATGCTAAGAAATCGCCAGTTCAGATATAGTACCTTCAGTGTGGCTGCAGTATATTACTGATTGAAGCGGGATATTTGTGCCATAACATGTCTCTTTTATGTGAATGGGGTGAATGGGTAATATTTTTGTAGTGTTATACATATTTCTATACTAGCTTCCGCCCGCGGCTTCGCCCTCTTAATATGTTGATAAAAAGCAGGCTATGTTTTAATCCAGGATATTAAACCAAATCGGTCCAGCCTTTTTGCGTGAAAGAATAACCAAGGACTATGCATTCTAAGGAATTTTTACATTTATAATATTATAATAGGACAATAGTATATACCTAGTAAGATAAAAACAAATTATATGTTGTAAACCTGAAACGCGAAAGTTAAAAAGAAAAAACTAGTATTGACTGCACGGTTGGCGTAGTGGCTGGGAAACTGGCTGCCGCGCAACGTGTCGCGGGTTCAATTCCCGCAGGGAACAACTCCTTGTCAAATTGTTGTTCCGGGTCTGGGTGTGATTTGTATGTTAGTAGGTAAACGCACCCACGACACAGGAGAAAATCCAACATCGGGGCAACGTTTTTATAAAAACAAAACAAAAACACATAGTAGGATAATAGAATTTAGTTTTACATAAAAAAGTTTCCATATATTTGCAGGTGCTAACAATCTGCATGTACCACGCAATAAACCGCGTGTGGTACGTGCACAACGGCACGGGCCGCGAGCCCATGATCTACCTCACCCTCACCACGCTGCTGCTCACCCTGCTCGCCATAGGCATGGCTGTCGGCGTCGTCTTAGCTGTAGGAGTACTTTTGTATTTACAAGTAAGTTCTCTTTAGTGCTTAGATAAAAGTGTACTTTAACCCCCCTCCCCTCATCCTCAATCATTAAACCCCTATCCTTAAATCCCTCATCATCATCATCATCATCATCATCAGCCCCTTTCAGTCCACTGCTGGACATAGGCCTCTCCTATTGCACGCCACTGGGATCGATCTTCGGCCACTCGCATCCAGCTCCTGCCAGCCATCTTGCGCAAATCATCACTCCACCTTGCCTGAGGACGTCCTACATTACGTTTGCCGAGACGCGGTCTCCACTCAAGAACTCGTCTACTCCAACGGTCATCGGTTCTTCGGCTAATATGGCCAGCCCACTGCCATTTCAGCTTGCTAATCCGGTGGGCTATGTCGATTACCTTGGTTCTCTGCCGGATCACCTCGTTTCTGATTCGATCTCGCAGAGAAACGCCGAGCATAGCCCTCTCCATAGCTCGCTGAGTGACTTTTAGCTTGTGAACCAGCCGCACCGTCAGTGTCCACGTTTCGGCTCCGTATGTCATGACAGGTAGGACGCACTGATTGAAGACTTTCGTCTTTAGGCACTGTGGGATCGACGACGTGAAGACTTGACGCAGCTTTCCATATGCTGCCCAACCTAGCTGAATTCTTCTATTCACATCGTTCTCGAAGTTGTTTCTACCCATCTGCAATGTCTGCCCGAGGTATACATATTTTTGAACGACTTCGAGAACAGCGCCGTGTACTGCAATCGGTTCCGGTAGTACATGTTCATTGAACATGACCTTGGTTTTATCCAAGTTCATCCGTAGGCCGATGCGTATAGAAGAGTCAGCCAGGTCATTCAGCATCCGTTGTAGGTCCTGCAGCGTTTCTGCTACGATGACGATGTCGTCTGCAAATCGCAAGTGAGAGATGTACTCGCCATTTATGTTGATGCCGCGTCCTTTCCAGTTCAGCGTCTTGAACATATCCTCCATTGCATTTGTGAACAATTTCGGGGAGATAACATCCCCTTGTCTCACACCTCGATGCAACGGTATCGGCCTTGTTTGCTGATCCTGTACTTGGACGGACATGGTGGCGGCCTCGTAGAGACATCTCATCACTTGGATGTATCGCCAATCTACTTGGCATCGCTGCAGGGACTCCAGAACAGCCCAGATTTCGACCGAGTCAAAGGCTTTCTCATAGTCCACAAATGCTAGGCACAGGGGCTGATTATACTCCTCAGTCTTCTGTATAATCTGCCGCACTGTGTGGATGTGGTCTATGGTGCCGTATCCGCTCCGAAACCCAGCCTGCTCCGGTGGTTGGAATTCGTCAAGTCTTCGCGCAAGGCGGTTCGTGATCACTCTCGAGAACAGCTTATAGACGTGGCTTAAAAGGGAAATGGGTCGATAATTCTTCAGTAGGGTTTTGTCACCCTTTTTGAAGAATAAGACGACCACACTCCGACTCCACGCCTCTGGAGTTCTCCCTTCAAACAGGACAGCGTTAAATAGCTTTTGCAGCTCCCTGAGTACCGGTTTGCTGCCTGCTTTTAGAAGCTCTGTCGTAACGCCATCCTCTCCAGGGGCTTTTCCATTTTTAAGCTGTCCAAGAGCGATCTCGATTTCGTCAATGCTGACTTCTGGCAGGTCTTCGGTGTAATGGCGTATTAAAGTGGCTCTAGAGTCCTCATTTCCGGGGTCAGGTCGAGATGCATGCGAAGCGTATAGCCGGCCGTAGAAGTTTTCTACTTCCGAAAGAACTGCCGGCTTCGAGACAACGACTTCTCCACTTGCTGTGGTCAACTTCGTCAGGTGGCTTCTTCCAAGAGATTGTACGAACACTTTTGGCCCCCGGTTTTGCTCGATCGCTCTCTCGATTGCAAGGGTATTCGAGCACCGGAGATCGTTTCGCACGTGTTTGCTAATCTCTCGGTTTAGAGCCCGCTTCTCTGACGAAGTGACGGGTGGGTTTTCACGTCGTCTCTTCATAAGCCCTAAAGTCTCTTCCGAAAGCTTCGACTTCTTGCCCTTACGCTGCATTTCACAAAATCTCGTACCTTCTTCCCTGAGAACTCGAACCACGTTTTCAAGGTTCCGGTTAACGTCGGTTGTGGTTTCCAGGGCAGCAAATCGGTTCTCCAGGTTTAACTGAAACGCTTCAGATCCCATTTTGATTTGAAACAGGGTTGGTCGGAGCCTGGCCTTCATCAAGCGGACTCGTTCGGCTCTGAAGTCGATATTCAGAGAGCCTCGGACGAGTCGGTGATCGCTACCGGTATTAAACCTATTAATCACGGAGACGTCTCTGAATATGTGCCTTTTGTCCGCCATGATGAAGTCGATCTCGTTCTTTGTCATAGTGTCGGGGCTTTGCCACGTCCACTTCCTTTGGGGCTGCTTCTTAAAGAATGAATTCATTAAGAACATCCCCTCCCGTTCGAGGAAATTGACGAGCATTTGCCCCCTATGATTCCTGTTTCCATACCCATGGGATCCTACTACCGATTCACTGCAATTTTGTACTCCCACTTTGGCGTTAAAGTCCCCCATAACAATGTTGAAGTGAGTCCTAGTGGTGGAGTGGAGGGCCCTCGATATATCATCGAACATCTCCTCCACCTCATCATCGGAGTGTGCCGAGGTCGGTGCGTACACTTGGACCACCTTAAGGCTATACCTCTCGGTGAGCTTTATAATGAGGTACGCCACCCTGTTCGACACACTCGACATTTCCACAACATTGTTAGATAGGGACTTGTTAACCAGAAACCCAACGCCACCTTGGGATTTTTGGTCTCCCTCACGGAAGTACATCAGGTGGCCTGATTTGAGAGTTATCGTGTCCTCCCCCTCTCTTCGGACTTCACATAACCCTAGTATGTGCCACCTGATCTTCCCAAGTTCCACCTCTAGTTGCGCTAGATGCGAGTCAAGCCGTAGCGTGCGTCCGTTGTACGTCGCCAGGGTCAGTCTGTTGTGGTGGCCTCCCGTAGCCCGGAGATTCTTAGCACCCCCTACCCCACCGTTACCATGGTCGCCACCATGACCAGGAATAGTGGGGCTGCCGGGAACTGGGGGCCGTGGCCTTCGTTTTTTGCCCATAGGAGGTATTGCCCATAATCGCCACGCTGGGCAGGCGGGCTTAAATCCCTAATAACTCACAAGAAACCAGCAACACACTTGTAGCAACTCCTTTGGTATTCCGAGAGTTTATGGGAGGCGCTGTTTACCATCACGTAAACAGTAGGCTCGTTTCTGACCTAATTAATATAAAAAGATATTGTATAAGTATGGTACTCTTTATTTCTAAAACAAAAACTACGTTTAAAAAAACCGACTTCAAAAACAAAAAAGTGTCAAATAAGTAATTAAAATTGATATTTTAATAGCACTCTTACGTACGCGAAGCTAATACTTTTAATATTAATAATAAAACACTATCAATTCTATGTGCTACCTATTCATAGGTTTGAAGTCGGTGCCAAGCCTAATACATAGGTATATATAATAAGCATGATACATGAGTACCTACACTCGCCGGCGCGTGTGAATTTATTTGTTTGGATTTAAGAAATTTAGTACCGATTTTCTAACTTGATGGCGTTAGCGTAGGATCAGAAGTCTATATGGTTGCGTTACCGGCGAAATTGTTTATAGCTTAGAAAGATATTTGGGTGAATTATGAATTCTGAAAGTTTTCTCGTCCTTGGTTGTCAAAAGTAGTAGTAGGTAGCTTCGTTGTTAGTTGTGGAAATTTTGTCTTTTAGCAATTAAATAGTCTTAATTCTCATTTAGTTTTATTCTGTTTAGGGCTTGGCACCGACTTCAAACCTATGAATAGGTAGCACATAGAATTGATAGTGTTTTATTATTAATATTAAAAGTATTAGCTTCGCGTACGTAAGAGTGCTATTAAAATATCAATTTTAATTACTTATTTGACACTTTTTTGTTTTTGAAGTCGGTTTTTTTAAACGTAGTTTTTTTTATTTTTTACATTTTAGTGTCTGTTACAAGTTCTTCTGTAAACTACAGTAACATTTTAAATATAAATTAACATATTGTATAGTATATATTTTTTAAGTAGCTATGTGTAGGCCTACGAAAGGAGCCGCTCGATTAAAAAATATAGATCCCAAGATATGGGAAAGTTCTCATCATCATCATCATCAGCCATTTTAATGTTCCCACTACTGGGACACAGGCCATCTCTCTAGGAGAGGGAAAGTTCTTAACAATATAAATAAATTAAGTCCAAACACGAGGTAGCTACTGTAAACCGTTGAGGAGTTCCCTAGACTGTCCTTCGTCTTCATCATCAGATCCCTAATGACAGTCACAATCCATCTAGGTGTAAAGTTCTTATCAAAACGAATTAATTAAGCTCAAACATAAGGAAGCTGCTATGAATCGTTGAGGAGTTCTCTCAACTATCTCTCGGTTCCATCCGGAATTCCCTAGACGGTCAATGGTCTCCATCATCAGGTAAACTGCAGACCTTCAGTTGTTATAATACATACAGGTACAAAGTTTTCATCAATATAAATGAATTAAGTTCAAACACGAAGTAGTTACTGTAAACCGTTCAGGAGTTCCCTGAGCTGTCCTTCGTTCTTATCATCAGACCCTTAATGACAGTTACAACCAAGCCTGCTGCAAAGTGCTCGCCAATACAAATCATTCAAGCCCAAACACAAGGCAACTACTCCAAATAGTCAAGGAGATCCCTCGACTGTCTTCCAGCTCCAACATCTGGTCGACTTCGACCTTCGTCAAGTTGTAGTGTTGATAAAGGCCTACTTAAACATCATACAAAAAAACTACTCGCCCCTACAATTTTCGAAAGATCCCCTCAGTTTCTCCAGGATTCCATCATCAGATCCTGACCTCATGACAATGGGACCAAATGGCAAGTATACCCTATCGAATAAAAAAAGAATTTTGCAAATCGGTCCAGGCGTCTTCGAGTAATCGGTGTACATACATAAAAAAAAAAAAAATACGCGTCGAATTGAGAACCTCCTCCTTTTTTGAAGTCGGTTAATAAAATTGAAAAAATCTTATTATTTTCAGCTTAATTTCAAAACAAAGGTTTTTCTTTAGTCTTGGTCCAAACAATTGAGCCAGTTTTTGTATTTCGAATTGAAGGTAGGTGAGAATAGGATTCAAAATTCAAAATCTGACTCAATGGTTTAAACCTAGGCTAAAGATAAATCTTGTTTTGTAATAAGGGGATTACAGTTTTATCAAACTAGTTCCAGCTACAGAGTTGTTTTGTAATATAAAAAAATATCAAAGATTCGATCAAAAATGCACTTTGTCTCATGGACAGAGAGTCTAATTTTCAAATCATTTCATTTGCAGCTTCGCGGGATATTCCGCAACCAGACTACGATAGAAGACTGGATAGTAGAAAAGGCGCAGGGTAGAAGGGAGGAACAAGGTCTGCCAGAATTTGTGTTCCCCTACAACCTGGGCTGGAGGAACAATGTCCAGCTCATACTGCAGGGATCTAAGTTTGATGGTATCAAGTGGCCTTTACGGGAAGGATGTGGGGAGTACGATCTGACGGTAAGTTGTTTAGAAGAGTAGAGTGGAAATAAGCAAAATTGATCTTTATATGTAATTACAAATGGTGTTTTTCCTTTATCAAAGACTCCTGCGCTTATCTTCGGAGCTACTGGTTCGAATTTAACAATTATTTTTGTGTCTATTAATCGAGGAATTTATCACTCTACGATGTAGCTAGTGGTGTTACCTATATTTGTCAATAATTAGGATTGTTATTCTAATGTCGTTTCCACTTTCCAGCGCGAGCAACAAGCGCAGAAGCAGGACAAGCGCGTCTGGTCGCGTCAGTACCGCGCGGTGTCGGCGTACTCGGGGCGCTGGCTGCCCGCGTCGCGGCCGCGCGCCGCCTGCGCCGCGCCCTGCACCGACGAGCCCCGACTGCCTTTACAGCCCGGGGACCTCATCCGCGCTACAAGGCAGAGAAAGTTAGTCACAACTTCCACTGATTGTTGTTCTTTTATAAGATTTATATCAATACTAAGTGGCTTTGTTTACGTTGCGGTATTCTATGTTACCATATATTTCAGCATATAATTTCTTGATTTATTGAAACGCCCCACACTAGGATGTTCTCTTGTGTCGTGGATACATATTTGTGGATCACACAAAGTAATAAAACACTATCAATTCTATGTGCTACCTACTTCTTCTACCTACTACTTACTACCTACGACTTCAAACCTATGAATAGGTAGCACATAGAGTTGATAGTGTTTTATTATTAATATTAAAAGCATTAGGTTCGCGTACGTAAGAGTGGTATTAAAATATCTATTCTAATTATTTGACACATTTTTGTTTTTGAAGTCGGTTTTTTTAAACGTAGTTTTTTATTAGTAACCTCACAAATTTTACATTGAGCTTACCTAAATCGTCCTACTAGTTATCTTAATTTTCACGAGCTAATGACTTAAAATATGAATATTTTAACTGCCTACTCTTTTGTCTACTATCTGGCTTAACAATCTTACAATTTTTTTTCAGGCACTGGTTATTCGGCGAGAAGTTAGTGGGTGACGGTGAGAATACCCGGGGTCCGCGGGGCTGGTTCCCGCGCGACGCGGCCGTACCCTGCGACTACTTGCACAAACCCAAGCCGGACTAGCTGACGCTGACACCCAGCTTCTGGACAGACAGACTGGTATGACTTATGTATAGACTAGGATTAGTCAGTAAATGGAGTGTTAAAAACAGACTTGATTACCTGAATCCAATGTTAATATGCTTAAAGGTAAAGTGTATAAATATTTTTTTTATTTTAAGAGTTCTTGTTTATTTTTGTGTGGTAGTGCGGCTAACGAGCAGAGATTACCTCGATGGTATCTATTCAGTGCCACTCATGGACACCCGCAAGAACAGAGGGGATACGAGTGCGTGGCCGACCTTTTTGGGGATTAGGGATTGGGAAGAGGAAGGATTGGCCCTCGGGTAACCTCACTCGCACGGCGAGACAACGCTGTGGTTGTTTCACCCCGGTTTTCTGTGCGGCCGTGGTATCGCTCTGGACGAGCACAAATTAAATTCTAAATTTTAAAAAATCACTATACATCATCAAACTCGAATGTCAATTTTCTGTATGCGAGCACTCCATTTATTGACATATCTGTAATTAAATAAATTATGGATCATGTTAAACATGAATATTAGTGTATGAATTATATTGTAAGGAATCAGTCATTATAACGCTAAGTAAGGTTGCTATACATAATATACAAGTTGCAAGTATTATAGGCAGGCCTAAAGAGTTGTCACACATTCAATATTGTATGGAAATTGAAATGTCTTTGTGTAATAAATAACGTGAGAGATACTAAATTTATTGGGAATAACGACTTACGTGCAATAATGGGGTTTACAATGGGACTCTTGTTTCTATGTTTATGAATAAGAGTTCCCTGGTAACTTGAGCTTGTCAAGCACGAGGGTGCTGATTCGAAACCTGGAGATTACTAATGCCATTTTTTCCGAGTTACATGTACTTTCTATGATTATTTAGACACCACTGTCTTACGGTAAAGGAAAACATCGCGAAGAAAACTGGACTTATAAGTTTGAAATTGCCAATCCGCCTTGAACAAGCGTGGCGTTTCATGCTCAAATCTTCTCCGTATGAGAAGTGGCCTTAGCAGTGGGTGCTTATAAGCTGATGTTGGTGATTTGACACTAGTAGAGCATTTCTCAGTTGATTATCGTGTGAAAGTCGTTATTTTCAATAAATCACAATCATTGTTATATTTCAATATGACAACAACACGCCTGTTCCTATGCCACAATTATTATTATTTAACTTCTTATGTTTCTATTCTTATTTCACGACAAGCAACGATCTCAAATGTTGAATTTATTAGTTTTACTGTGTATATGCATTGTTGACACAAGATTGCATTAAAAGGAGAGAGGTTACAACTAAATACAATGGTCACATGTGTGCTGCTAGCCATAGCATTATTCTTTTTTTTTTAATAATTAAACCCTTTATTAATGTTAACAAAAAGTTTACATTATATAAACCCATCAAACTGTTAAGACAGTTTGTCACAATCGCCTTTGTATTTCAATATGTTGTGTATTATACGTACAAGTCGAGTATCGAGTGTTGATCGCTTTGATACAATTAAACAACATTTTTTTGCAAGTAGGCCTTAATACAGCCCTATTACACGTCAACTCAAAATTATATATAAAAAGTAGATGAAGCCGGCATTTCCTATCTGACTACTCTGAGAAGAAATTCCGAAACAAACTCAGAGGTCCGTTTTTTTCTCATCAATAAACGACGGCTTCGACTCATCGGGTTATTTATGTATTTTTTAGCTGGGACCTCTACATAATTTGATTTTCTTTTCAAAATTGTTCATACTTAAAACTTCGCTGTCTAAATTTCTTTGATTTCGTTAAACAATTCCAATGCAAAATTGTAGGAATTTTGGGCTTAGTACAGAAGTAACTGTGAGTTAAAATAATGTTTTAGAGGTAAATAAGTCGTATCAAATCAAAGTACAATTGATAAAATTAACAAGTGTCAATCGAGGTATATTTAATATAACTTACGACTCACAGTTGAGAAATGACAGTAGAGTAAGAAGAGAATAGTGTGTAACCAGTTGTTTTTGGTAATTGTACTTTACAAGCTTGAACACAGCGTGTTGAGTACTTTATGTACGTTTGAAAGCATTTTGTCGTAAAGAAGTTTTTATAAGAATTTACGAGTCATAGAATTTATACCAAGTAATTGTTATGAGAACTTTTAAATGTTAAGCTCTTGTACGGTTGTTTGTTATTTTATAATTTTATAACAATATAATATTATTGTGACTAAATAGTTGTGATGTAAAAATAATCGGTTTTATATCAATAAAACTGTACATAAATATACACGTGTTTCTTTTCCAACGTAATAAAACAACAAGTTATGTGTAAAAAGTCTTTATTGTGCATTAAAAATAAATTATTATCATCTCAAACACACAAATGCACTTCTCCGAAGCGTAAAATTAGTTGTCAATAAGTTAGCTTACGATATAAAATGATATAACTTTACATCTAACTCTCAACAAGGTTAGATTATCACGAATTCCTTTTTTAAAATTAATAAATGCAAATTATTTTGTTACAATTCACAGTTTCTCAAACTTTATGTTTCATCTCGTTGAAATTATTTTATCTCAAAAGTTTGCACTGCGCACACGTTCGTCCAAGCTCACGTTCTTACGTACTACATTACGTATATATTAATGTAAAAAATCTTATTTCATTTTGACGACATTGGAAAAAAATATGAATGGATACAATTGCGAAGTTAACCGAACATGGTTTTACAATCGATCGTGGATGGACCAGATGGAATGTAGCTGTACTTACAACATTAGTAAAGTTATACCAAAATGGCCTTCCGAGCTACACACCAACTGGTCGTATAACTGGACATACAACAGAGAAATAAGTAAAAATCGACTAAATAAAGTTGACAAGACGATACTTCTAAAACGCCGTATATCCAGCCTTCAAGAACTTTGTCATTTAATACTCATTTTCCTCATCGAGTTCGCCCTCAGTGGAGTCCACTCCGACTTCTTCATAGTCCTTCTCGAGGGCAGCCAAGTCTTCACGGGCCTCAGAGAATTCTCCCTCCTCCATACCTTCACCCACGTACCAGTGGACGAAAGCACGCTTGGCGTACATCAAGTCGAATTTATGATCCAATCTGTGAAATTATTGTAACAGTTATTAATAGTTGTAATTGTTTGTAATATTTCTACCAAAGTGTCTCCCAATACCCCTCAATCAGCAAAATATCTCTTTACGGGGAATAATGAACATTCTATTATTTGCTAGGGCCTTGAGATTTTGAGAAATTATAAGATTTTCAAGCTGTTTAGTTTTCGCAACAACAAGTAGATACAATTCTTGAAAAATTTAAGTTCATAGCTTACAAATGTATCTATGTATCAAAATCTTATGAGATTTATAAAGATAAAGGATTGTTGATATTCACAAGTTGATATTCTGCTTCTGATTAGTAAAATGTATTCTTTTTATTTTTGGCTTTGTGGCATTATTTTTATAACAAAACAATGAAACCAATGTGCCAGCTGTCACTTAGTTTTCTCTAAGATTGACGTGATTTCAGATATGGCACGTGATCACAACAAAAGTACTTGCTTATAATATACATACCGAGCCCAAGCCTCAGCGATGGCGGTGGTGTTGGACAACATGCAGACAGCGCGCTGTACCTTGGCCAGGTCACCGCCAGGCACCACGGTCGGAGGTTGGTAGTTGATGCCCACCTTTACAAATAGAAAGTGGAGTGTAGTAAATGAAGTCATACTTTTGTATCCGATAAGAAAGTGCAATGACAACAAAACGTTAAGTTTTAAATGTTATAACGTTTAAAAAATACTTTATTTCTATTAGTACAGAGTTGGTTTTTCTCATCTCATTACGTTTTTAAGCAAGGGTCCTCACCTTGAATCCTGTGGGGCACCAGTCCACAAACTGGATGGTCCTCTTGGTCTTGATCGTGGCAATGGCAGCGTTCACGTCTTTGGGAACAACGTCACCTCTGTGAAGTAAGGAGGAGAATTGAATTGTCTAATACTTATAAGTTTATTAATACTTATAAGTTTATTCTAGTATAAATTTAATCTAATATAAGTTTATTCGGTCCGTTAAGACTTGGTTAAATATTAATGTTAGCTACCTGTACAACATGCAGCAGGCCATGTATTTGCCGTGACGAGGGTCGCATTTCACCATCTGGTAAACAAAAATCATAATTATAGATCAGTAGGAATTTTTCGAATAATTTCGACACTGGCTATTCTGTATTGTTTTTCATTAAATTGTGCAAAAAAATCGGTAGACCTAAATAAAATTTATGATCGTAGCTCGATCAGTTCGATTCAGTCAGTATCAGTGTGGATTTCAGCCGGTGTTACGTTATAAGCGTAAAGTAGAGCAGGAGAAGGAACAGTAGGGGGGAGGGGGCTTAGTCAGTGTCAGCGCCTTCCTGCCCGACCCTGGGCGGGAGAACTTATTTATTGATTTTCCCCTCTCAAAAAAAAACCAATGTGGATTTGGTTTCTCTTTTTTCTATATTTATTTTTACCTGGTTGGCGGGCTCGAAGCAGGCGTTGGTGATCTCAGCGACAGTCAGTTGTTCGTGGTAGGCCTTCTCAGCGGAGATGACGGGGGCGTAAGTAGCCAGCGGGAAGTGAATACGAGGGTACGGCACCAAGTTGGTCTGGAACTCCGTCAGGTCTACGTTCAGTGCACCATCGAACCTCAGGGACGCCGTTATGGATGATACGATCTGGAAATGTTCAATGGTTTAGATATTAGGTAATTTTGTATGATTTGATTGTAGGTATGTATGTGGTTAGCACAATTGGGTAGTTTCCTTGGTGATAAATAAATTAATTAGACATTCGATACAATAAAATATTGAAAAATAGATGTACTTTTATTCATCGATTGATCAATACACTGAATTTTAGATACTTTCAGCATTTTTTTTTAGGAAATAAGTAAGCTATTTGGTGCAAAAATACTATGACGACATAACTCAGTTTTTTATACAAATTTCATAGAAAAGTATCGTTTTTGTTTTGACATTTGGATAAAAGTCTTGAATTTGGCTAGTTGGAACTACCGTATTGCAAGGATAGCTTTGTCTAAATTATTTCATCGTTCATTAATGATACAACATTTTTCAGGAGCCTTATAAAAATGCATAATGTACTGGATCTCTTTATAAAAATTTGCATAAAATGAGAAGGTTTCTGCTCCTTACGAACCTGTCCGATAAGTCGGTTAAGGTTGGTGTATGTGGGTCTTTCGATGTCGAGGTTCCTCCTGCAGATGTCGTAGATGGCCTCATTGTCCACCATGAAGGCGCAGTCCGAGTGCTCCAGGGTGGTGTGTGTCGTCAGGATGGAGTTGTAGGGCTCCACTACAGCGGTGGACACCTGGGAAGGAAATACATGGTTTTAAAACATCAAAGTTTAGATTGAAGTGACAAGACTCACACGTGCAAAGTTATGTGTTAATCCAGGTTATTACCTATCTAACATATCAAATTATAAATAAATCTGTAGAAGCCATACATTCTCACTAACTTCTACATTTACAATAATAGTAGAATGTATCTAAAACAACTTTCAAATTACCTGAGGTGCTGGGTAGATGGAGAACTCGAGCTTGGACTTCTTGCCGTAGTCCACAGACAGACGTTCCATCAGCAAGGAGGTGAAGCCGGAGCCGGTGCCGCCTCCGAACGAGTGAAAGACCAGGAATCCCTAAACAGAAAAA